TGCCTGTCTTTACGCACATTGCTTTGGGTGTTGAGTGCGATAAGAATCATTGTCACACTGGACTCTTGTTCGCTTATCCCTAACGGCTTTGCTGACCTTATCCGCACCTGAAATCTTTTCTTTCTAAGAACTATAGTGCTTGAGTTGGCGTCCTCAGAATCTACGAGGAATGAACAATTCGATGTCCTGGTCTGCTTTCCTAGAAAGTGACAACTTTAATTAAGGGCGTGCGTCTTTGATTGTCCTCTTTGCTTCGGAGATTGTTGTGCATCCTAAAAGTATAAACTTTCTGGTTTTCTCGCCCCACTGGCCGCCTTAGCACAGTTATTATTTTTTTTTTATCGCGGTTTCCTGCTTATCCACTAAGTGCCTGACGAAGTGCATTGACCATACAATATTATCTGTCATTCAAGTATGGCATGGTTAATCTTGAAAATCTTAGCCATTGCCTATCCGAGGGTTGATGTTTTTATTTGATCAGGCTAAACTAGACTAGGTGGGTGTTATTTTACCGATATATCTGGACCGTGAAACCCCTAGCAACAAGGCAACGCTATTCGAGCCTGAATTTTCGCAGCTAAATCGAACCCGTGAATTAATTAGTTGTCACTGGCGCCGCCTTCGCTCAGTCGCCTGTATTCTATGACAGAGGGAACTGTGTACACTATGGTAGGTTGATCCTTTGGTACGAATAACCACTGAAAATGTACCTGTACTGCCTTGTGGACGCGTAGGCGTGAAGGTCACTCCCTGCGCTGTCATGCTATCGTGCGCACACTGACACTGTCTGACGTCTTCTCATTTGTTGCCCCCTTCTTCTCAAAATTGTCAGATTTTTGCTGTGGTACGCATAGGCATTTAGAGCGCCATTTTACTGAAGCCTGACGAATAATTAACCATAATGTGAGACAAAGGTACTTTTCAGAAGGCACGCCGTCGTTGTCTTCGCATGGGGCAGATTTTGAGATGGATTTCAAATCTTCTTATGACTTCGAGGACAAAGACTGCAGTTGATGCGGGTTCGTTACGCGCACAAATTGCTATAAGGGGCAGATTAGCCAATCGAGTCATGTCCAGCCGATTTCTTTTTCCGGAAAAATAACTACTCCATCTGCAGGATATTTTAGTGTTTATTTTGGCCTTTATTTTTACGAAACTTTACGTTATATTTTCTCTACTTCCTGAAATTCTGTTTTCTAGGCTAAACACGGTCACTGTGACCTTTTCACGCTTCCTTTTTAGCTCATCTTCCTTCATGGTTTAGGCGACACCGGGTAATCTTTTTTCTCTTCATGGCTGATTTCTTTAGTCATGGTTGGGCCGAGACCCTTCGCGAGTATGTTCCGCCCTACTGCAAAGTCATCTGCCCACACGCGTAAGTCCCCCCTCTCTCTGTTTGTTAACTACGTGTATCTGCAGAAAAGCGCGACCAGTTGCACTGAACATGAACATGGTTATGCCTGCATGGTGAGTTTGCGTCTACTCATATTCCGTCCTCTAGGCACGATATTTATGGACTAGATTTTGATGCACCACAAGACGAGACTGGGATTAAGTCGGCCGCAGAAGAGTGTAGGCTAAGCTTCGCACTTTCTTTTATGCCTATTTAAATATTATTATTATTGCCTAACTA